TCAACAGGCTGAAGATGCCAATGGGAAGAGTGTCTGTGATCACTTTTACCGAAGGGGCACTGGCTTCTTTGGCACTATGAGTAATTAAAACTCAAATTTGAGGGCATTTGTCAACTCCTCCAATATGTATGAATCACTGACAGTTTAATAGAAATCAGAACACCCTGGGGAATATCTCCAGCTTTAAGATATTTTTAAAGAGTATTTGATAAATTCCCTCTAATTTTTCTAATAAAAATATCTTATCTTCTCAAGTACTGAGAGGAGGGTTTCAAGAATAATTTTGAAATTCCACTTAATTAATGACATTTGTATCTTCCTCCTCATCTACAATGATTTCCATTGCTGGGCAAGCTGGACCGGGCTTTATTTGGAGTTCACAGCTTTGTGAAGGAGGAAAGATACTGAAAAGCTGGGCTGATTCAGAGCCATGACCACTACATGTTTATTAACCTGAACCCGAATTTTATTCACATGCCTGAATCCATAAGAATTCATAAGAGATAAGCACTCAAAATATCCGTTGCATTTATCTTACTCTCCATTGGTTTCCTAGGAGAAGGTGAACAGGAAGATTTTTGTCTATTGCAGGGATGCCCCAAACCATAGCAAATTAATGAGAAAATTTGCCTTGAATATGCAAGTTCTTTCTTAGTTCTTAAATCGTTTAAATCCAAGCCATTGAAGCAGTGAACACAAATATTGGCTACCATTGTTTACTATTTATCAGGGTCTTTGCGTACCTATTAATTTATGTAATCGTCACAAACTCCTCCCATACTATTATTAGTCCCATTTTATAGATGAGGAAACTGAATCAAGGAGTGTTTGAATATTCAAAGTCCCACATCCAAGAAGTGGTTGAGCAGGATATTAAAACAGGAATTCTGATTCCAGAGTCCATGTCTTTAATCTCCAAAATACTGCCACTCATGAGAAACTGGATGTCATGGCAGCCACTCCCTTTCCCCCAGAATAAGGACCATTATGGCAATTTGATGGCAACAAAGCACCCATTGACCCCTACTTGGTTCCAGGAAAGTCACTCCATTTCCAAAGCTCCCATCTTAATAGAACACTTGTGAATAAAAGACTATCTCAGTATTTCATCTCTTTACTCTTTACTCTCCTTTGAAACTTTGAACTCCTGCTGAAATGAAAGTGACAGCAGATGGTTTCTCTTGCTGCCAGTTTATGAATAAGCAGCCTTTGTTAATTTGGTCTCAGATTTACTTTTATCTTTGACAACCAAACACAAATCAGTTTGACCCTTTGATTTATGGTTATGTTAAAATAATAAAATTCAAAGTACCCACAATTCTTAGACTCTCGACCCACTGAAATTACAATAAACCATATTAAAATATAAAAAGAATCCCTGTTACACTCTGATCAAGTATAAATATTGAAAGACATAATTGAATGTTGGATTCCTTGATAGATTGTGTTGTTATAAAATAAATAATTATAACATGGTTTCCGATGGAGGGATCTAGAGAGAAAAATGGAACTATCTCTTATTCACCTTACTGCTCTGTGTCCTCATAAATAGATGGAAAAATGTCTCTACAGTGCATCAGAATTAATGAGATATGTCACTTGCCCCAGATATGCCAAGATAGTCCTAAGCTTTAAGCCATACCACAATCTGAGCATTGTTATATATCCCCACATAACCCTGATCTATAAAGGACATAGAATAAAAAGTTTACTCTTTATACTCTTCATTTGTAGCTGTAAGAAAAGAAGCAAGACTTTATTTGCCAAAAGATAAACACTGCCACCTGCTGAGATGAGAGAACTAATAGAAGCACGCAAGCTTACACACTTAGAAAACACAGCAACATTTTCTAGTTTTCATAAGTGAGAGCAGTAAAAAGTGTGTTCTCCATTGCTCAGTAAAATACAGACACCTGATCTGTTGTCGCGGTTACTTGATTAAGATGCCAAAGTCCCAAGAAAAGAGTAGCAAAGGCAACTTTGTTCAAAGAGATGCATCCAACATTCCCCAAAAGGTGGAATAAATGACAGTCCTCACCTTCACTGCATTTACAGCTTCCATACAGCTTTTCTGGGGTTCCCATCTCTTGCACGCCTATGCATAGTCATAAACTCATTTTTATGTTCTAGGTAATATAACCTGAAACTCCTAACTCAAGAGGAAATTTGGTACTGAAGAGAAACTGATGGTTTTGCCTTGACGTGCAGAATTCAAGGAGCCCCCGACACACATGAACAAATTTATCAATTCCCCTCTACAGTCTAAGCCAATATCCAGACTGAGATTTCCTATAAAAAAAAACAGGGTGTTTCAGAGGAAGTAAGAAGGTAGAGGAGGATAGTAAAAAGGGGTAAAAAACTCTAAGTTATACCAGCTCCCTGGTGGAGTCTTCCAGATGTTATAAATGAACTGACCTCAGAGGCCTGTGAAATTCCACTGGCTTTCCCCTAAAAGAGCAGAGTAACCCTAAAAGTGGCATTCCCAAATGTAGACTACTCCCATATAATCAAACCAATTGAATCAATTCATAAATTTTTTTGAGAAAACTTTTTGAGGGCTTCTGGGTCTTGTAATTTCAAAAGCACCAAATACCAGCTGGATCCTCCTTTTCTTGGCCAGATTTTATGCTCTAATAAGACAGTATTTTTCCTACCATGATTCAATTATTTTACCCTTCAGGTTTTATTTTTTATTTCAAAGATGTCAATTGTATTAACTATCACAATAAATCAGAAACTAATTCATTCCTTCAAATGTATACTCTTCATTCTAAAAAGAGAAAAGAAATTCCAAAACTTCCATAGCCTGCTTTCTCACCAAAAAACTAATCAAGTTTATGGCTTATGTCTTTTTCTCCATGAGGTCAATGTTTGATTTCTCTTTAAATAATACGCTTCTAAACACCAAGTGTATTATGCTGTGAAAACCAAGAAAATTGATCACTTACTACTTGCAAAAGATTGTAAAAATGGATTGAGCATTCAATATTTTTTTTCATTGAGGTGAAATTCACATAACATAAAGTTAACCATTTAAAAATGAACAAGCCAGTAACATTTAGTATATTCAGTGTTGTGCAACCACCACCTCTAATTGCAAAGTATTTTCATCACCCCAAAAGGAAACCCTGTACCCATTAAGCAGTTGTTCCCCATTCCCCCCTCACCCCCCATCTCTGGCAGCCACCAATCTGCATTCTGTCTCCATGGATTTACCTATTCTGGATATTTCCTATAAATGGAATCACATAGTATAAGACCTTTTGTGTCCGGCATCTTTCACTTAACATAATATTTTCAAGGTTCACCCACGTTGTTGCATATATCAGAACTTTATTCATTTTTATAGCTGGATATTCCATTGTACATGTTAGCTATATCACAATTTGTTTATTCATGCACCACTGTTGGACATTTGAGCTGTTGTGAATAGTGCTGCTATGAACATGCATGTACATGTCTTTAAGTACCAGTGTTCAATTCTTTTGGGTATATACCTAGGATCAGAATTTCCGGGTCATATGGCAATTTGATGTTTAACTTTTTGAGGAATCTCAATATTGATTTTTAAATTAAGAACAATAACAACATAAGAGATGGAGTTTGCCAAGTAGCAGAGAGTAGGTTCTGATACCCATGGATCAAGTGATGACCAGCCATAATCTAATCTAGTCTTGCTAAGAAAACTTGCTTAGGATCAAGGATTTCACCAGAATGGGTACAGTTGTGAGGAGGAAACTTTTCCATGGTAGAATCTATATTCCTTTTTACCGTATGGGTAGACCTGGCCCATATTTAAGAGTGATAAATTCATTCTAATATAAAGGAAAGGAAGAAAATATGAGAATCATAACCTGCCACTAGGCTAATTATATGATAAGTCAAAAATTACTACCTTGGATACGATAAATTGCATTTAAAAATGCAATTCTTGGGCCGGCCCTGTGGCTTAGCAGTTAAGTGCACGCGCTCCGCTACTGGCTGCCCGGGTTCGGATCCCAGGCGTGCATCGACGCACTGCTTCTCCGGCCATGCTGAGGCTGCGTCCCACATACAGCAACTAGAAGGATGTGTAACTATGACATACAACTATCTACTGGGGCTTTGGGGGAAAAAAGAAAAGGAGGAGGATTGGCAATAGATGTTAGCTCAGAGTCGGTCTTCCTCAGCAAAAAGAGGAGGATTAGCACGGATGTTAGCTCAGGGCTGATCTTCCTCACAAAAAATAAAAAAATAAAACCAGCTTCACCATCTACCGTCTGGTAAATTATTTAACTTCACTGCAACTCGCCTTCCTCATTTTAAAATTAGGTCTGTCATCTGCTTTGTAACAGTTCTGGGAGGATTAATGAGATGATTTGCATAAAGTGGGTGGGCAACGTCTGGCCCACCATAAGCACTCAGCCACGTTGACTATTATTTTTATTATTAAAGGAAATGATTCTAAAAGATTCTCATGCATTCTCTTGCTCTGGATTCAGGCATCACTGGTTTTATCTTTTGCTTTATCTTTTAACATAAATTTTTAATATCCATCATGGCACCTTTACATAGAAGGACCTTTTAAAAAATTTTTTTTTAGTATTTTCAGCAGCAATAAGGTTGCTGTTTGATGATTTTCCTTGGTACCTCAATTATTTTCCACTCAGATTTTTAAATTCAATAGTCTGAATGTCTATTCTGTTTAACTTTTCCTTATAGATAAACCTGCCTAAATTTTTTTCAGCGAACTATGAATCAAGAATATATTTGCTATTGAATGAGAACCATTTTATTTTCACTATATGCTGCCCTAATTTTATTCAGTGTAAATTCTCAACGTTTTTTGGCGCGGGGCGGGGGCAAATACATTCTTGAATACGAGAGAAGAAAGATTAAGCTTCTATTCCAAAATTACCTTTCTCATTCTTAGCTGCAAAAAGTAAAATAACTAAATAATAAAACTTCTGATTAAATTCCTAAAAACATACATCATAAATAGAGATGTATAATTCACAATGAATTTTCTCCAAAACTTTATTCAACACAAATTATAATAATAACCTTCAAAGTAGAATCCAGGAGACACATTGTTAAATTCCTCTGGTTTCATTTATCAGCATCATGATGCTCTTAAAAAATAAAACAAAACTGAAATAACCAGTGGTATTTGCCAAACATTATGCTGTTTCCCATCATCTCCATCAAATAATATCAAGAAATGATATAACTTCATCAAGTTTAATGGTCATATCTGTGAAGTTAAGAACAGTGTACATATGGTTGATTTGAGGGAAAAGAGAAAACACGTGAAATATCAAAATAGCTTGCTTGGTATTTGTGAAGCTCCAGATCTTAATCACTGCTGCTGGCAAGTTTGCTCACTGACTAGCTTTCTTCAGTCAACGCCATATCCTACAGGTATTATCCTTGCTGCCTAACAAAACAAATTTCATAGTTATTTTTTGTTTATTTTATTCACTTAACTCTCCTTTTACAAGTTGACATTTTCTGGGTCATTGTCAATTATCAACGTGCTAAATGTGCTAGATTCTCAGTGCCCAGCTTCAGAGTCCTGAGTAGCCAAGCTCAGGCATTTTTGGAGTAAGAATCTTTTTCTTTTTCTTTCTTTCTTTTTTTTTTTTTTTTTTCATGATTCCTGTCAGTCCTATATCGAGCAAGTTCATGTCCTACTCACACCAGAAATATTCATGGCGTCTTAGAACCGGAGAGGACCACTTCAGCCATTCCCCTCTGCTTATTCTCTCTGCCCTCCCCTCGAACATCGCCACCAAATGGAAATACAGTGGATCTGAACATCTCCAGGTTTGGGTGATTAGCTTATGGGCCTTATAAGGAAGCAGCACATTCCATTTTGGAACATTTCAAAATGTCAATAGATCTTTCTCATCATCCGTGAAAATATGAAATTTGCATCCTCCCGCCATCCCCACTACTATGACAGACACTCTTCCAAATTGCTTTGATATACTCCTCCCCAAGGGACATCATTCACATTCCCTCTTTGGAAATGACAGCCCTGGTATAGAGAAGTACTGGGCCCTGCTGGTTCTCTAAACTTCAGGGGCCAGACTCGTAACATCAACATAAGAAGTGAGGGGGCTGTGTGGACCGGGAAAGCCTATAAAAACTGTGCGTTTCACCAAAAGGCACTTCATGTTTTTAAAAATGTAATGACCATGCTGGCCAGTTTTCTTCCAGTTTGTGATTCTAAATTCAACCTCAGGTAGTCCCCTAAAAAATGCATGCAGTTCGTCACACTGGGGTCTGCCAAGAAAAAAGGGGCAGATCAATTCAAAGTGACGGCTTTGCTCCTGGCAAGACAGAAGTCTGATCCCCATTCTAATAAGCTCTGTCATCCAGTGGGCCAGTATTTAGCACCTTGTTGCTTTAGGATACACTAAATAAATCAATAATATCTTGAAAGAGCTCAGGAATTTAAATGCCAGCACTAAAACAAGGCACAGATAATTAATATTCCCTCCCTAAGCTCTCCAGAGTCTTCTGTGGTTGCGAGTAGAGGTATCAAGAGCTGGCTAACATGAGACACGTGGACTAGGAAAGGTTGGTCCTCTGACAACTCAGCCGGGCTTCCTTCTTCCTTACTTGGCAGCAGCTCCCTACAGGAGCATCCTGTGCCCTCTGTCACAGCCTCCCACCTCTTTCTTCATCATGGGAAAAGGTCTGACATTGTGTTGACAATAAAATACATGGCTTGTTATGGTATTGTTTTAGGAGTATCTACATTTAGTAACACTTGCAAATTGTAAACCCAAAGAAAGTAATCTGAAATTTTAGAAATTATCCATAATTAGCTAGAAAGGGGAGGTATTTTAGGGCAAAAGGGGAGATTATTCTCAGCACCCCTGAAGTTATATGACTAAGAAGCTATCTAACCAGCCAACATATAAAGCCAACCTCGAGTATGTGACATAACCTATTAGACTGGATAAGCGATTTTTAAATTTACTCAACACAATGAGAATCACTGAGAGTTCAGCAGGTTTGGGCTTTTGTGCCCTCCTAGGATATCCCTACCCCTCACTGTTGTTACCACCCCACTCCTGCCAAGGCCTCCTCCGGAGGTACCACACTAACATTACCCCATACTCTTGTCATTTCACCCCTTTCCACAATCTAAATGAACCTATTCTCAATCCAGTTCTTATAAAATGTTGCTTACATGATTAATTCACAATAGATTATTCATGGTTGAAAAACGCTCAACATGCGTGTTTTTCCCCAAATATTAATGTGTTAGCAGGGGACATCCAAGGAGAAAACAACTTAGCTCAAAGAACAAACCTCTAATGGGCCATAAATCCAACGGTGGAAAACTCGGGTCCTGACTTGTTTTAGTTACTAACGCTTACTGACATCAGCTGAATATTAACCATTTGGCAGATGATGCCTGGGGAAATGTAGTAACCAGTAAGGCAGGCTACCGAATTCTCATTTTGTCTAGAGCAACAAAAATTCCAAATTCACAAGGCCTTACAGTCAGTGGCAGAGCTCACTCTTGTGGTTCCACAATGCAACTAAAATTAAATAATGGATACAGAACACACCAAGATGAGCAGGGACCCTGGACGAGGGGTGGGAGATGGGTGTGACCTCCTTTTGGTATTCCCCTTAGAAACTCTAATAGCCAATTTAACAGGAAAACTGAGTCTATGGTGTTTATTTCTCCCCTACCTGTAATGACTATGTCGCCTTTATAGTTGAAAGTACATGTAAAGATTTCATCAGTGTGCCCCTCGAGAACCTGGAGGCATTGACCTGTCTGAGCATCCCAGATTCTCGCTGTTTTGTCAGAGCTGCCAGTTAGAAGACGGTTCCCCTGGGGGTTGAAAGAAATCTAAAAAAGAGAAAGAAAAAATGATCACAGGTTTGCGTAATGATTCCCAATATATTTTTAATCAGCAAAAAGGGGACATTACTAAAGTACTTGTCACCTTCCCAGCCTGGTATTTATTCTTACACAGAACATTTCCTCTGTGATGGGAAAAATATTGCAGAGATTAGTACATGAAAATCAAAATCTAGACAGAAAACTTTGCCTCCCCCCTCACAACTCGGAGGATAAAGACCAAAGCACCCTTATAATTTCAGTATTCCCCACTTGGCTTCTTTCCAAGACTCATAATGCCATTCTCCTTGCAAACAAAGAGGCTGGGCCCCGGTGTGGATGAGAACACGTCAGGCTCCCTCATACCCAAACCCGATGCCATCTCTGCAACCCAATTTTCTGTAATCAAAAGCATACAGATCCTCCTTCAGTCTCTGCCACCTCCTCTATAACTGAATGTTTGATGAGGGCAGGGCCATGTCTGTTTTTTCATCACTGGGTCACCAGTGCCTAGCACAGTGGAAGCACTCAAAAAGCATTTGCTAAATGAATGAATGAATGAATGAATACCTTAGCTTTGCACCCCCTAGAAATGCCACTACTAGACGGCAATTCAATAAGCAATATATCACCTAACAAGTATAAAATGCAATAATACAGACTTTGGGTACTCTTTATAGTCACACACACACAAATAGATGTGAACTTGTTAAATGGAGCACACCAGCCGTGTCAAGAGCTACCAGGCCAGACACTCAGAAACATGGCCCAGGCTCTCTTCTCAGCCTGTCTCACATGTCCACACTTCGCCACCCCCCTTCCTGCCAGTCCCTGAGGCCTCCCAGCCTATAAAGAAGATGTGCTCTGCACTGCCTCGGAGACCAGCCCTGATGGGCCAGCCAGCCACCAGCAGCAGGCGCAGATGCAGGAGAGAAGAGAGTGTAGCAGGGGGCAGTTCCTGGGTCCAGGGGGAGCCTTCAGAGCCCTGAAACCATCAAGCCTATATTTTACAAGGAACGAGCAAACCTGATCTCAGGTATGAGACCAAGGTACTGGGCTGAGCAGGGAGGTGAGAGTCACCAAGCCCCACCCTTCTCTAAAATTTTCCAAGGATACATTTCAACCTCAGATCACTGATTGGACAGCCTTGCTCTGTGATTAAGCTTTTGGGAGGAGCTACTACAAAATCCTAAGCTATGGCTTTGGAGTTTCAAAATAGGTCATTTTAAACTTTATTAAGTGTTAAATATTTCTAAGAAATACTTCCTCAATTGCATCTAATTTACAGAACACTTGATACTGGCTGCCCAGCATGTTTTTTGCATAATATAAACGTATGTGTTTACTAGAACCAAGAAAAGCACTCCATGAGCTTCTTAAGTAGTTTTAATAAGTATTTTCAGCTAACAAAATCTTTTGCTGATGGCTGAGAATACTGTTTTATACTTTTTGAAAGGTTTGAGAAATCATTTATTATGCTGAGTTTGAGGACACACTTAAAAATAAAGTCTTTGGGTAACTGATTTCTAGAAGGAATGAGATCATTGGACAAACCTTAGTACCCTCAGTGCCAATAGACCTAGTTATACTAAGCACGTGGTCTATTTTTGAAAGTAAGTAAACTGCTCCAAATGAGAAAGCAACTCACCTTTGAAATTTCGCCTTCATGGCCTTCCAATTTGGTAATGCATTTTCTTGTGGCTGCACTGAAAACTCTCGCTGTTCCTTTTTGAGATGAGTGAAGATAGATATAAATTCATCTGAAATACAGAACTTTGAACCATATGCCTTGAATTATCTAAATATCTATTCCTCTGACACACAAGCTCTGTGCTAAGTTTGTCTTCTTGCCTGCGGTGAGAGCCAGCCACTTAATACTCTAAATGCAAGCCGGTCTCACCGTAGGAGAAGACAGTGAAAAGGAGTATCTCTCTAGCCCCAAGATTATTAGAAGAGATAATGGGTGCCAAGGTGGAAAAGGGGAGGGGGGGCAGGAATCCAGAAAGAAAAAGGATTTTAAAGGGAAAAAAGGCAATCAAAACAAGTCTTGAGAGGCTGGGGATGAAATAAGCAGCAAAATCATCATCAGACAACAAATATGAGTTTAACGTTACAGAAGGTGCGAGAAGCCTGTCTAAGAGGGAACAGCGGCTACTGCTCAGTGAACAAAGAATAGGCACTAGAAACCCTTTTCAACAGAAAGAGCCAATAGAATAGTTTGTTCTCTGTTGTATCCCCAGTGCCCAGAGGCGCCAGCCTCATAGTAGACACTCAATAAATGAATAATGGATGGATGGATGGATGGATGGATGGATGGATGGATAGACGGATGAATGGAAGAAGAAACATATACATTTCTTTAGAATTGAGGAGTTAAATAAGCAGAGAAAGAGAAAAACAGCAGTAGTGAAATTGTCGGAAAAAACCTTACAATTTATCTGGCCAGGTGAAGGATGCTTTTGTTGTGTTTGTTTTGTTTGTTTTGTTGTTGTTGTTTATTGCCATAACATTGGTTTATACAATTGTATAAATTTCAGGTGTACATCATCATACTTCTATTTCTGCATGGATTACATCATGTTTTCATGTTCACCACCCAAATACTAATTACAATCCATCACCACACACAGTTTTCTTATTGCAAATTACAGCATCACATAGGGAATTTAGCAACAATAGGGAGTTTTGGTTACTTAATTTTCACTCAGAGAAAAGCAAAATATCTCAACAAAGTTTTTACTTACCTTTCTGACAATGTCAACTTCGGGAGGAAGTAGACAAAATTGTTATTTTAGAATTAATATGATTAAAAATATCAAACTGCTACTTAGTTGGAGATTTCAAAAGCCTTAAAGTGACCAATTTGTTTTAAGAGTTTCTTAATAAAACAAAAGGATATATCCTGCATAGAGTCATACTCTAAATTTTACAAAAGCATTTTTAAACTTCAGAAAACACAGAAATAATATAGCCCGAAACTGTAATTTTTTTAAAAGATAGAAATAGGAATAAGACACCAAAAAAAAAAAAAATTCAGCCTTGAGGGTAATTCCAACAAGGAAGAAAATGGTGATAAAAAGAAATAGATGTAGCTCGCTCTGTTGAATGAGATCCAATTTTAAGAAGGGAATGAGGAGCAAAGACTAGAGATAAATAAAAAAGATTGGTCTAAACACCAAGACTTCTTCTAAGGCATAAAACGAGAAGAGGTTTACAAAACACACCAAAAGAAAAAAAGGTTTTCTTGAAGTAATGTCTTACGGAAAAAGGAAAGAATAGAATCAGTGCTAGGAGAAATAGCAGATGATGGAGAAAACGAAGCTAGAAGAATTGAACTTGTATATTCTCATCCATCCCTCTGCATCCTGCTCCACCGACCCAGCTTGCCCCCCCGAACCCCATAGCACTGACCAGCTCCTAATGTTCTGCATAATCTAGCATCCTATATAATATAACATTCTATATAATCTAACATTCTATATAAAACACACGCATGGTATTGTTCATCATCTCCCCCTCCACAATATAGCTCCACTAGGGAAGGGATTCCTGTCTCTTCTGCTCACTAGTATATCCCATGTTTCTAAAACAATTCCTGGCACAAAGTAGGTACTCCATATATATTTGGTGAATGGATTTTTTTGTATAAATGAGAATGACATTTAAAATGAAAAGGGCAGATTAATTACAGTTCAGGCATGATTTTTAAAAGCCAAGATCTGTGAGAAGGATGAAAAAGTAAGTAGTCACTTTAAAAAAGAAAAGTCTCCAGATTCAGGTAGTTTATATTCCAGGATATAAAAAGAACTTGTATGTGTGATCAAAGGATCACCTCTGAAAAGTCCTAGTGAGTAAGAGAACAAGCAAGTAGATGTAATTTTGAAAAGGGAGACAACAATGAAACAAAGACTGTGTAATTAAAATGAATCACCAGCAAAATTCTACGACTGATTATAGCACAAAGGATATGTGACTACTTAAAAGTATGTTAGTCACAAGGAACAAATATAAGCAAACAAAGAACAAGTCATGCCTGGAAAAAGCATTATAGTTTTGCCAGAATTTCTTAAATGTCTGCTAAGGAGTTTAAGCAGACATGATGTAGAGTCACATATGGTCATTAAGGGAATTAGACAGACATATCTAGCAACATATGTGATTATCAGGGAGATGACTTACACATAGCGTAGGCTTGTGCATGTTGTCAGGGCAATGACAACGTCATAGTGTAGCATGATATGCATTCTCGGGAGTGACACAGATATAATACAATGCCATATGTGGTCATCATGGAGATGATGTAGACATGGGTTGGTGTCATGCTTGGTCATGAGGGAGATGGTGCAGATATAGTTTAGGGTCAAATGTGGTCATCAGGGATGACCTAGACATAGCATAGTGTCACCCATTGTTGATAAGGAGATGACATGGACATAGTCTACAAGCAAGAAAATGAGACATAGTGTAGCATCATACATGATCATCAATAAGACGATCCAGATGTAGTATAGAATCATACATGGTAGTCAGAATGTTGATGTTAACATAGTGTGCATTGTGTGAGGACATCAAGGGGATAATGCAGCCACTGTAGCATTCTATAGCATGATGTGTGGTTGTCAAGGAGATGAAAAGATATAGCGGAGCATCATATGCTATCAAGCAGATAATGGAGACAGTGTAGAGTCATATGTGGACTACAGGGAGATGGCACATACACAATGTAGCAACATATGTAGTCATCAACAGATGACACAGATATATTGTAGGATCATACATAGCTCCTGGATATGACACAGACTATGTCATCACAGATAGTTGTCTAAGAGACAACACAAAATAGTGTAACACTCCATTTGGTTCTCAAGGAGATGACATAGACATGGTATAGCATCACATTTAGTTTTCAAGAAGAGGACATGCACATAGATATTCATAACCAAAAAGAAAAACCTCAGTTTAAATATCATACATAGTTATCAAAGATGATGCAGTCATCACATAGCATCACAGGTGCTTGTCAACTAGGTTTTGCAGATATATTGTTACATCATATATGGTTGTCAAGGTGATGACAGACATCTTGCAGCATCATATATTGTCATCACTGAGATTACCCATAGTATAGCATCATTCATAATTACTAAAACATGGTGTAGACATAGTATAACTTCATTTGTTGTTGTCAAGAAAATGATGCAGACAGTGTATACAATCATACATTGTTGTCAAAGAGATGAGTAGACATAGTGCTACATCAGACTCAGCTTTCAGAGTGATGTAGTATATAGATATCTATATATCTATATAGTATATATAGAGAGATATAGTATATAGTATAGTGTCATATATGGTCATCGGTGAGATAATGAAGACATACTGTTGTATCATACATGATTGTCGAGGAGATAGCAAAGATATTTAAACATCACATGTGTTCATTAGAAATATGCGACTGACATTGTGGAATATCATAAATTACTGGGAAGTAATGTATCATAATACGTAATTTTCAAGAGGATGACACAGACATAGTATAGCATCATAAATCAACGACGTGAAGTATGGCCTAATATCATAAAGGGTTTTCAAGAACACGAAGCAGATGATAGTATAACATTACATGTAGTTATCAGGAAGAGGAAGTAGATGCAGTGCAGCATTCTATGTGGTTATCAAGGATATGACACAGAGTGTAGCATCACAGATGGTTGACAGAGACAATTACACTATGTCATAATAAATGAGAGTAGTGAGATGAAACATAATATAGCTTCACACATGGTTATCAGGAAGTTGGCCCAAACAGAGTTTAGTATCATAGGTGTATACTATGGGAATGACATATCCTACAGCATCATCCATCATTCTCAAGGAGACGGTGTACATACAGTATAGAATCTTATGCAGACTTCAAAGTGATAAAAGAGCTATAATAGATATTCGTGCATTGCATCATTAAATAATGGGACATAGGGAAGCAGCATGCAGGGTTTCAGGGAGGGAGATGATACAGACAGTGTAGCATCCTATGAGGCCTTCAAGGATACGATGCAGACATAGTGTAGATCATACATGATCATAGGGAGAAAACACAGTCACTGTGTAGTATCATACATAGTTGTCAGGCAATGACCCAGGAATAGTGTATCTTCATACATGGATACCATAGAAGCGAGGCATTGTGTAGGACCACACATAGTTAAAAGGAAGAGGAAGAACACATCTCTGGCATCATGTGCATTTTGAAGAGATGACATGACATAGTGTAGAATCAAACATGCCGTGAGATGACACAGAACCAGTGTAGCAGCATACATCTCATCAGAATGATGACTCAGACATTGTTGTGGCATTCATGGCCATCAGAAATGACATATATATAGTGTAGCATCACATGTGATCATCAGTGACACACATAAATATAGTGCAACACCATAAAGGGGCTTTAGGAGATGGAGAGACAGTGTAACATACGGGTCATCAGGCGTATGATGCATGTTATCATGCATGATTATTAAAGATAGTATACAGACAAGAGATAACATTACACATGGTTGTAAAGGGATGATACATATATAGTGTAACATCATACTTATACTAGAACAAGATTAAGCAGGCATAGAGTACTATCACATGTGGTCAGCAAGATGATGATGCATACATAGTGAAGAACCATACCCAGTCAAAGAGATGATACGACATGGTGAGGTATATTACTCAAT